GGAAACGTCAGCTCAACTCATATCATTGTAGGAAAATTCTTCTTCTACCCGTCCTTCACCACCTTAAACGAAATTGGATGAATACATTTCATATCACTGATTTACTGGTAGTCTCGAAAACAATACTTAATTCGAAAAATATAAAAAAGGACTAAATAAAATATATTATTTGTATCTGACATAGTGTAAGATAAATTCAAAAGTATATTTATATCATAGTGAAATAATATAATTAAGAATCCAGGTCAAAGCGTGATGAGATTTGATAAAAAAAGAAGGCAAGAAGATGAACTGGTCATGTATTAGTTATATACAGACAGTCTTCAGGAATATCAATAATCGAAATTATCAGTTAAGCAAAGTTTTACAATATTAAATAAATTAAATAAACAATGATGCTATTTATAGCCGATAAGAAAACACGAATCTAAGACAAACATTGAAAAACAAAAAGTCTAATAAGTCAAAGATGGATGTGTATTTGCAATAAGGGGAGATATAAGATACTCCAGGTTTATGAAGTACGCTTTAGAATACCACCTTCAATTTGTACTCTCAATAGATAAGAAAAATCACACATATAAAGGAGTAAAAACTGCAGGCAAACAGGCCAAATATATTGGATTCCTTGGTATTATTTGCATTAAATGATTTTAAATCTATTAATCCATGGTCATTAGGGCCAAATTGTTCAGGAGTAGGGGGCTTCATTACTTAATGATGACAAAAGGCAAGTTAAATTTTGCATACTCTCTTTATTGGATAAGGCGTCCTGCTCGAAGACAACAGAGATGAGAGGGTCCTCATTGTTAGCGCTGGACTCATTTGGCACGGTGTCCAAAACTCTAAAATAAAATAGGCAGAAAAAAATTCTTGAAGAAAACTGCATAAGACACACTCAAAGTGAGAAAATAGTCTTAAATGAAATAATCAAGTGTATGAATTCCATTACTTTGACAAGTAGTGGTGAAAGGAAAATCGAATTACAGATAGATTTCCACATTCACACAGTAAATCTAAATTTTCCAGAAGACGACTTAATAGACACAGGAAATTGATTTATTACAACCAAAAGAGGGCAAGAAGCTAGACCTTAAGGAGCTGATAGAAGAAAAAGCAAGAAAACATAAGTTTCGGCTTATCTTGATACCCTTCATTTCAGCAGAGGAAGATATTAGCAAAATTTGATAGAAGTAGAGATTTAATTGTAGAGTGTAAACTATTTAACTGCATTCGAAAATTGTGAGAATCGGTAAGGATGGCAGCGAGTGATGCAGAGATCATCAAATGTAGAGCGGAAACGAGAACAGATCAGATCATTAACTAGTATGCCAAGAAATGTTTCTATCGCCCAGATATATAGATATAGATATATACTCAAGGGCACCCATAGCAATGTGGCGTAGTGGTTAACGTCTGAAATAATAGTCTACATTGTTATGGTTCGAGCCTAGCTGATAAGACCTAGGCGTGGCCGAAACTGAAGTGCACTCTGGAAGAGAATACCTTCTGGAAATATGAAATATAATGAAAACATAAGGTCTAATCATATTTTTGTGGAAAAATTTGACTGCCAATTCTTCATTACTTTAAACGAAATAGGGTACGCTCATCTCATATAAGCATCTTTCGTTTTCCCTATGGTTATAGAAAGTTTCTAATAGGATGGAGCATCCAATTACTAACAAATGGGAGCGATCTGCGTGCATTATAAAAGATGAGCATTTCATTCAAAGTGGATTTATGATATTAAAAAGCCTAAGGGTAGATCGTATCTATGAAGAACAAGAAATTGTGGCCTTTGGTTTGGTCAGTCTCATTTAACCGTATGGTGCTGGTACGACTTCTTTTTCGTAACCTAATCGGAGCGATAAGGAGACCTTGAGGAGCGTAGTTACACCTGTGTCCAATGCCAGACTATTCATAATTTCCAGCATCGAATCGTTTACTTGATACATTTCCAGACGCCGGCATCGTCAATGATAGTCATGATTACTTTGATATAAGACAAAGGACTAGATATATTCCATAATTTATGTCTATCACAACGACCAAGTTGCAAAAATCAGATCCAATTAAGCGTAAGGTTAGCTAAATTTGAGCCTTTATTGAAGATAAGCAAGACAACAGAAATGGTAACATAAATAAGCGATTAGTTTAGAGTATGATCTTATGGATGGTTATCTAATAGTAAACCCATGCAAGAATAACTAAAGACACCTAAATCTTTTTCTAAAAATATTTCAAAGATAGTTTAACGAAAGTAAAGTAAAATTTCTTGTGAAAAAGGGGTTAATGATTAAAAAAAATACACAAAGTATATAGAATAATAAGGCATAGGTTAGAAAATATAGTCTAGCCATAATGTGAGCGTTCCTAGGAAAAATCAAAACTAAAATTAAATTCAGATGAAACCTAGAAATTAAAATTAACAGTAAACTGACAATTAGATTATTTTTTGAAAAAAAATTGTGAAATATTGCAATGAAAATTATATAGCCAAAACAAAGGTACCTTAAGAAGGCAAAAGAATGAAAATACATAATTAATAAAAACACATGATCCTCAAATATTTGAAAAAGGCATAGAGCTCTCCTTCTAGTAAGAGATGAAAAAACAAATAGTCGCATGAAAAAAGCAAATAAGCGCAAGTAATTATTTCAAAATATAATAAGAATCTGAAAAATTGGGTACGACATTACGATCAGTAAGAACTTAAAGGTTAAACGTGCATCAAAAGTGATTATTTAAAAAGTAAAATAAGTAAGTAAAATAGGTGTGCAAT